TGTAGATTAAACTAATAATTTTGCCTCTTAATCTCAAAATAATTTCTTAAACTGTTTTTCAAACCACTTGGATGATATTTACATGGAAGCCACATATTATGAGATTTTCAACAATTAAAAAAAAATTCAATTTTCAGGGCGCCTGGGTGGCTCAGTCAGTTGAGCGTCCAACTTCAGCTCAGGTCGCGATCTCACACTCCGTGAGTTCGAGCCCCACGTGGGGCTCTGTGCTGACAGCTCGGAGCCTGGAGCCTGCTCCGGATTCTGTGTCTCCCTCTCTCTCTGCCCCTCCCCTGCTCATGCTCTGTCTCTCTCTGTCTCAAATATAAACAAAAAAACATTTTAAAAAAATCAACTTTCAAGTTTCCACTGCACATCAGACAACAATTTGTTAATCTAGAATTAAAACGGAATCCAATCGGTCGCACGGCGATCATGTACCGCGGCCGTGCTGAAGGAGCTCTGCGATGCCCTTGCTCGTGGTGTCACAGGAGGAGAGCACTGAGAGGAAGCAGATTTAAGGTATTTTTTAAATATTTTTTTTAATATTTACTGATTTTGGGGGAGAGCACAAGCAGGGAAGGGTCAGAGGACAAAGGGGGAGAGAGGATCCGAAGCGGGCTCTGCGTTGACGGGCTGACAGCAACGAGCCCTATGTGAGGCTCCAACCCACAAACTGCAAGATCATGACCTGAGCTGAAGTCTCAACCGTCTGAGCCACCCAGGTGCCCCAGATTTAAGGTATTTTTATAGACACTGAGGCAAGTGGAAAAAATAACAGTTTAGAAGATTCAGAGAAAGTGAAGTTTCTAAAGACCATCAATAAAGAGCAATAGAACATTTATAAATAAAACGAATCATTTCTACCACCCTAAATATCATCAGATTCACAAATGGGAGAAACAAAATAATTTTTTAAAGAGCTCTCGTAAAAACAAGGCTTCATTCCGAGAGAAGCACAGCCCCGCACAGGAGGAGAAAAGTCAGTAGCTCTTGGGCTGTTGGACTCTCCTGCAAACAGCCGGTAACTTGGACTGTCAGGAAGAGTGGACGGGAATCTGTGGCCGCCCGAGGGACCCGGCACACAATTCCTGCCTCGGTATTCAGGTGAGCCCCCGAGGTGAGCTCCTCACCTGGGCTCCCCAATCCTTGCCGTGGGCACTGGGGTTGGTCCTAAATGTGCTCACTTCTTTCCCTGTTTTGAGTCTGCGGTGTAATGTGCTACAGGGAGGGCCCGTCTCTTGGGGACCCTGGGGCGTGTCGCTAGCCCACAGGGTGCAGCTGTCCATCAGGCCGGGTCAGGGCTAACCTCTGGGCCGTGCTGGCCTTTAGAAGACTCCTCTCGGCGGCCAGCGGCTCTCCTTAGCAACAGACTCCCTCATGCAAACTGGTGCAGCCACTGTGGAAAACAATGTGGAGGTCCCTCAAAAAACTAAAAACAGAACTACTCTACGACCCACCAATTGCACTACTAGGTATTTATCCAAAGGGTACAAAAATGTTGATTCGAAGGGGCACATGCACCCCAATGTTTATAGCAGTGCTATCAACAATAGCCAAAGTATGGAAAGAGCCCAAATGTCCATCGATGGATGAATGGATAAAGAAGATGTGGTATACACACACACACACACACACACACACACACACACACACACACTCTGGAATACTACTCAGCAATGAAAAAGAATGAAATCTTGCCATTTACAACAGTGTAGATGGAACTGGAGGGTATTATGCTAAGCAAGATAAGTCAGAGAAAGATATCATATGATTTCACTTATATGTGGAATTCAAGGAACAAAACAGATGAACATAAGGGAAGGGAAGGAAAAATAAGATAAAAACAGAGAGGGAGGCAAACCATAAGAGACTCTTAAATACAGAGAACAAACTGAGGGTTGATGGGGTGGGCGAAATGGGTGACAGGCATTGAGGAGGGCATTTGTGGGGAGGAGGACTGGGTGTCGTATGTAATCGATGAATTACTGGGTTCTACTCCTGAAGCCAAGACTGCACTGTATGTTAACTAATTTGAATTTTAAAAAAAAGGAAGCAACCCCCCTCCCGTTCACGCCTATCTCTCCCTCCTAAGCTGCTCACTCTGTGGGGCCGTGCGTGGAGCACGCAAACATCGCCTCAGAACCCGCCAAAGACCCGTGGCAGCCCCCAGGCGCACTCAGGCGAAGCCGGCTTGGACTTTCAGACAGTAGAACTTTAAGGTGGGCAGCAGCATAAGCGACACAATTTCTATGGGCCTTTCTCGTCCAAATTTAAAGTAGTTTCAAAATGGAACTGTCACGAAAATATCCATTGTCCTTTGCTGCTGTGTGACCAAAAGAGAAAGCCAAGGGTGGGGCACCCTGAGGTGGGTATCCGAGCACCGCCAGGAGGCCTCCCAGCGTAAACCCAGACCCGGGGGCTTCGTGTGCAGGAGCCTCCCTGCTCTGTGTGGCCGGGAGCCATATCAGCGGCAGGCTTGGTGGTGACACGTGCAGGACTAACTCAACATGCTCTGAATGCCCCTGTTCCCAGGCACCTTCTCCGTCTTTCAATCCCACACCGTCATTAATTAACCCTACCACTGCTGTTCACACAGTTTGATGTTTCCTGGGTGAGTCAAACCCACCCGGCTCCTGCCCTTCCAGGCTCTCCTCCCAGGTAACTAGATGGAGTTGAAATATCTTCAAACAACAAACCTCGTATATAATATCCTCAAGCGTCGTAGCAGGTGTCTCTACAAGGGGGCAACACCTATCGTTGTACAGCAAATGAATTTTCCAGAACTTACGAAAACTTGCGGGGGGGTTCCTTAATTTAGAAATAAATTTAAATTGGGACGCTTTGGTGGCTGTCGGTTGGGCGTCCGACTTCAGCTCAGGTCATGATCTCGCGATCCATGGGTTTGAGCCACACGTCCGGCTCTGTGTTGACAGTTCGGAGCCTGGAGCCTGCTTCAGATTCTGTGTCTCCCTCTCTCTCTGGCCCTATGCTACTTGCTCTCTCTCTCTCTCTCTCTCTCTCTCAAAAATATACAAACATTTAAAAAAATTTAAGAAGTAAATTTAAATCAAACCCTTCCCCAAACCCACAGCCTTTAGATTTACAAGCAATGTACAGTCATATACTAGAGATTACCTCTCTCTCTCCCCGAGATCTTGTAAAGCCGAGAGACTGATAAAACTATTCACAAATCAGCAAACGGTATCACGTTACGATTGTTTTTCAGTTTTGTGATTTTTCAAGAAAATACGTCCATGATGTTCAACTCAACAACACGGGCAATGAGGAAGCGTGCACCAACAGAGGGCCACGTGATAACGTAAGTCAAACGTGTGCACGAGAAATTGTCCTTAGCATCTGACCTCGTTGCTATGTGGTTCCAAACTTCTCCGGGGAAGCCTGAGCTTATGTTCACACGACCACCGTTCACGGTGAACCAGGCGATGGCACCAAGCACTGGGTGCCCCCAGGGCACTGCTGCCACTTACTGGAAGCACAATAAAGTGACCCCCAAACCCAGAGGCTGGGGCAGACCCAGCCTTCCATCCACCTGAGTTCGGCTGATGCTGGAGTTGTCGCAGCCGTAAGACGGCCCGGCAGAGCTGACCTGGTGGGCTATGTTCATCTGAGTCCAGTCATGACTGACCTTTAGAACTAGATGTCTGCCTTCGTTCTCCAAAAAGCAAGAGCAAAGCCCCAAGCAAAGGGAATGATCTGTTTTTGAAGGAAAACTTTAAAGGCAGAAGTTTGAGAATTCTCCCTCCATTTGAAAACAATCTTCTCTGTTCCACACGATAGGTACCTTGGCTTTGCCAAGGTCTGTCTGTTTTAAACATAAGCTCTTTTCTTTCTTTCTTTCTTTTTTTGTTTGTTTGTTTGTTTGCTTCTTAGATCGCAATTACATTAACACACTAGAAGTAATATTCTCCAGTGCTTGCTAGTTCACCTCAAAGTGGTCAGGGTTCTTTGTTTTTTGTTTGTTTCTTTCTTTTTGTTTTGGCTCCTGGTTGTGTAATCTAAAGAGGGACTACAAGAAGAAAAACCATTGTCTTTTATCATAAACTCAAGAAGACGTGCATATTTTAAGCTGATCGGCATCCCTCAACATATATTAATCCATTTTCATATGGTGAGATGAAGATTCGATTTAAAAGCAGTCTCGAGGGGATGAGGGGGTCCCATTTTTAACACCGGGGACAACAGCCCTTTGTCAGTACTTTTTAGGCAGTTAACTGCAGTCCACAGTTAACTGCTTCCTTTAATATTTTGGTTCCCAAACTGCCGAGATACAACATTTTATCCGAGAATGTGTCTGCTGGATTGTTAAACTGAATCTGTAGCCTGTATGTGCAGGCCAGACGCCCTGCGGGTCTCTCGGTGTGCTGGACAACACCGTGGAGACCGTGTGTGTCTCGTTCCCTTCCAAACAAGCAGCCATGCATCCGAGTGGCCTGCCTGCTCAGCCGTCCCCCGGCTGCAGGACGTGGCCCAGCTGTAGAGCGCAGTGATGGCTCCCCACCACCGTCCAACAGGCTGGAGGCCGGGAGTCTGTGGCAGGCCAACCGACAGGTGCTGGGTATTCGTTCTTTTAACAGCATAAAATACTTGCATAAAGGAGGAATTTTATGGACCACACTGGGCACGACTGTGTAATTCTTTGTGTCAAAGGAAAAATCTGGAGCTGCTAGCTCCAAGGCCCACGCTCAGCCCCTTTTGGCCTATTTAAATGGAAGACTACGGCCCCAGGGAAAAAGAGTCCCCAATTCTCTGCTGCTGTAAATCAGAACCCTCAGGTATGGAAGGCGAGGCAGACCTTGCTGGGGAAGGGAGCACCAGCGGCTTACATAAAGCAAGCCAGCATTTGGCCTGCACTGCTGGGAGCTGGGGGGGGGGAGCCAGAGCACCCAGCCTGCCTCTTGGGGCAGACACAGCAGAAGTAGTCCCGCCGCCCCCGTATCTCCCAGGGCAGGGCGGTCGGCGCTCCCAAGTGTGCTCACCGCCGGGGGCCTGATGCCCACGTCCCCGGCACAGGAGCCCGTGCCCACAGGGGCACTGGCCGGACATATGGCGCAGCGAGTGGGCAGAGGAGCGGACCCCAGGAGAAAGCAGGCCAGAGCGAGGTCCCCCATGGCGAACCTTCTCCCCACGGGTACGCAGCTGGCGCGCCCGCAGCGCCCCGTCCCCGCGGCCCCGAGAGCTGGCCCAGGAGCGCGCGCCTGCCGGCCTCCGCGGCC